TCTGGTCCCTCCTTTGATTTGAGTCCCAGTTTCCTTTCCATTACTATTGGTTTCCTGTGTATTTTTCTTCTTTTCAATTAGTTTAGCTTCCATATGGTCCTCTAATTTGTGACTAAAATCAACCAGTTCTATGAGCATCCAGGTCACCAGTGTTTTGAACTGTGCATTTGAAAGTTTGGCTATCTCTCGGTTGCTTAGATTTTTTGGCTCTGGGGCTGTGAGTTGTTCTTGAGCCATGTTTTGATCTTTTTGTTCCTGTTACATATGAGGAGTAGAGCCTTAGTTGTTAATCAATATCAGGGCGGGGCCACCCAGGTTGCTGATTTGTGACACTGTATGTGGGGGCGGGATCAGAGAGGGACAATGTTCATTCTCTCTGCTGCTTTCCACTGCTGGGGCCTGCGTGGTCCGTCTCACTACAGCTACCTCCTTCACCAGTTTATCTGCATAGGAATGTGTGACCACGGTCCACCCTCAGTGGGTCCGCCCACTTCTCCACACCTGGGATCCGCCCACGGCTGCTGGTGCACCTGGGTGGCGCATCCGGGTCGGTCCAGTGGATCTTTTCTGCCCTACTCTACTCTGCTGCTGGCTCTGCCCCTCTTACAGGTTTGGCTGAAGGGTTTGTTGTTGTCAGACTTCCTTGTAGTTCAATTTTCTGTGGTTTGCTGCATTTTTGATGCTAAAACTTTGTTGTTTTTAAACTTGGTTGTGTGAGAAGGTGAAGTGCTTCCACATTCGCCTCCATCTTGGCAGAAGTCTCCCTAAAAAACCTTTTTATTTCAACCTAATATCTAGTACATAGTTACAAAAGTAAAAGTAGTGCAGGGAACACTTATATACTCTTTACCCAGATTCACCTGTTGTTTACATTTTACCCTGTTTGCTCTCTTAGTGCATATTTGCTCGCTGTGTGTATGTGTGTGCATCTGAATGTGAATGTATCTACACAGTTACTTTCTGAATGTCTGATGGTAAGTGACATGCATCATGGCCTTCCACCTCTAAAGAGATCAATGTGCATTTCCTAAAAACTGACTTATACAATCTCACAGTGGTTGCAGATGCACTAGAGTTGATTGTTAACTGTTCAGGAATTTTACTAGTTTCATGTTAAACCTTTGATAGCTTGAAATTGGCTATGGTGGGAATTTCTTACACCACAGAAATGTGCAAAAGCTACATATCTTGGCTTTTCTTGGAGAGTCAGCTTCCCAACACCCTGATTAATTAGAATATTCCTAGTTACTGTGGCACACTTACTAACTTTATGATTTCCACTGATATATTATATTTCACTTTTGTTAGTTAACCTAACATTGTCCTTTGGAATATTCTCCCTCTAATACAGGGTCCGCTTTGGATTAGGTATTTCTTTTAGTTGTCATGTCTGTTTAACATCTTTTTTTTTTAAGATTTTATTTATTTATCTTTAGAGGGGAAGGGGGGAAGGAGAGAGGGAGAGAAACATCAATGTATGGTTGCCTTTTGTGCGTCCCCTACTGAGAACTGGCCTGCAACCCAGGCATGTGCTCTGACTGGGAATCGAACCGCGATCGTGTGGTTCACAGGTCCGCGCTCAATCCACTGAGCTACACGAGCCAGGACTGTTTAACATCTTTTAATTGAAATGTTTTTAGCTCATTCAGGCTGCTACAACAAAAATACCATAGAATGGCGGTGCTTATAAGTAACAAAAATTTAGCTCACACAGTTCTGAGGGCTGGGAAAGTCCAAGATCAAGTTGCCAATACATTTAGTGTCTAATGAGAGCTCTTTCTTGTTGCAGATGGTTAGCAGTCTGTTCAATGTCCTCACATGGCAGAAGAGGCTTAGGAACTCTCTGGGATCTCTTTTGTAAGAGTACTAATGTCCTTCATGAGGACTCCATCTTCATGACTTAATCATCTTCCAAAGGTCCCATCTCCAAATACCTTCATATAGAACATTAGGATTTAACATATGAATTTGGGAAGACACATTCATTCCATTGGACACTCCCCAGACTTTCTTTTGTGTTTCAGATGGATATTTTATTTTAATTGTATTTTTCCTTTACCATTTATCCCCTTTATACCCTCTTCTACCTCTACCAGCCTTCTCCTTCCCATAATTACTATGCTGTTGTCTGTGTCCATGAATCCTTTCTCTTTTTTGTTCCATTCCTGCACTTTCCAACCCCGCAGTGCTGTCAACCTGCTTGCTATCTGTGAGTCTGTCTTTATTTTGCTTGTTAGTTGTTTGTTCCACATATGAATGAAATAATATACTATTTCTCTTTCTCTGACTGGCTTATTTCACTTAGTATAATGTTCCCTAGGTCCATCCATGTTATCACAAAGAGTTAAATTATCTTTTTTATGGCTAAGTAGTATTTCATCATATAAATGTACCATAGCTGTTTTATCTACTCATCTACTGATGGACATTTGGGCTGCTTTCAAATCTTGGCTATTTTAAATAATGCTGCAGTGAACATAGGGGTGCTTTTATTCTTTCAATTTAGTGTTTCAGATTTCTTTAGATAAATTAACAGAAAAGGTGTTGCTGGGTCATAAGACAGTTCCATTTTTAATTTTTTGAGATAACTCCATACTGTTTTTTCACAGTGGCTGTACTAACCTGCATTCCCACTAACAATGTAAAAGGGTTCCCCTTTCTCCACATCCTTGCCAGCACTTGTTGTTAGTTCATTTATTGATGATAGCCACTCTGACAGACGTGAGGTGATATTTCATAATGGTTTTAATTTGAATTTCTCTGATGATTGGTGACATTGAACATCCTTTCATATGTCTATTGACTATCTGTATGTCCTCTTTGGAGAAGTGTCTATTCAAGTTCTCTGCCCATTTTTAATTAGATTGTTTGTTTTTTGTATGTGTTGAGTTTTATAAGTTCTTTTTAAATTTTGGATATTAACCTGTTACAGATCTATTGGCAAATATGTTCTCCCATTCAGTGGTTTGTCTTTTCATTTTGTTAATTGTTTCCTTTGCTGTGCAATTTTTTTTATTTTGATGTAGTCCTGTTCGTTTATTTTTCTTTTGTTTCCCTTGCCTGAGGATGTATATGAGAAAAAATATTGCTATGAGCAATATCTGAGATTTTATTGCCTATGTTTGCTTCTAGGATTTTTATCATTTTGAGTCTAACATTTAAACCTTTAATCCATTTTTAATTTATTATTGTGTGTGGTACGAGAAGGTGGCCTACTTGTGCTTTTTCTGCACATATCTCTCTAATTTTCCCAATATCATTAACTGAATAAACTATCACATGGACTTGCTTTTTGAGGAATACAGCCCCCCATTCGTTTTAATATAAACTTTCTCATTTTGTGTTATTTGATATTTCCTTTGGTTAAATTGAGATGGTACCTGCTCAGCTGGACAGCATAGGTGATGTTAATTTTGGTCACCTCATCAAGGCATTACCTGATTTTACCACTATATAATTACTGGTAGTAAGTAGTAAGCAGTACTGGAGAGTCACTTTAAGACCATGTAAATATTCTGCTATTCATTTAAATTGTCCTTGGATTTAGTATCCATTGATAATTCTTGTTCACTCCAGTTTTTACCATCACAGTTGCAAAATGTTGATTTTCCGACTCCAGCACCCACTCTCCACATCTGTTAGTTAGCCCTTGGCATTTTACTGTAAGTCAGAGAGGTCTTATCTTTCTATCTACTTGCCTGTCTATCTACCTATCAATTTATCTGTTGCCATGGACTCACAAATACCCATTTTTCCACCAGTAGTTTGTAATTCATAACTATGTCTAATTATTTTGGTGCTCAAATTGTGTAAGATTTTGCTAGTGGGAGTGTTTTCCAGATAGCAGCCACGTCTTTGAGATATGTCACCATCATCTTTTGTTTTATTGATTAGTTCCATACTTAGTAGCATCATAGCATGCTCCAAACTAATCTTGTACCTTTACCTGCAGTCTCCCTGGAATCAGCCATTCCTCCAAGGAGTCTTGGTTCCTTACCAAAAGGAATGGTCTTACAGACCAAGATCTGGGTGCTTGATGTGGTGGGCCGTGCAGGGGAGGTCTCTGCCTCTTGGCTGAGGTCATTTTTTATAGTTAGTCTCCAGAGGTAGGAATAACCTTGAGCCTTCCCTGATGTGCATCACCTAGTCTCTCCAAAGTCACTGCTTAGCGTTTCCCTTTACTTTGTAACCAGGATATTCATTAGCAAGAAAAGTATGCCTTCCATTGTTGATGAATCCCCTTTCTATTTCACTATCATTTTAGTTTTTTGTTTTTTCTTTCAATTGTCAACCTCAGTTCTCTTGACAAGGCTACCTTTGGTAAAAGACAGTATAAAACGTTAACTAGATGCTCATTAGAGATTATTTGCAGTTTAATATTTTCACTGTTGTCTTGGGTAGACATCGTAATAAAGTCAGAAACCCCAAATGCAGATTTTCTTTTTCTGCATTTCCACACTGCTACATACTGAGTGTTTGTGTTTCTCCAAATTCATATGTTGAAGCCCGTTCCCTCTTTGTGGTCATGTTAGGCCTTGTGATGTGGGACCTTTGGGAGGTCATGAGGGTAAGCCAAGTGAAGGAGATCAGTTATCTTTAAAAGAGACTCAAGAGAGCTCTCCCATTTCTTTCATCATGTGAGGACATGGAAAAAGATGGCTATCTATGAACTGATAAGTCCTCACTAGATACTGGAACTGCTGGCACCTTGATTATAGACTTTTAGCCTCCAAACCCTTGAGCTAAATTTCTGTTGTTTATATGCCCCTAGTCTGTGGTATTTTTGTTATGGCATCCCAAATGGAGTGAGACACTCACCAACTCCTAAGAGATGTCTGTGGGTGGGTCTTCAGCCCCCATTATCTGTGGCTTATTTTGACGCAGCTGGATGCCCTAGGCACTGAGTTAGCTGCTCCCTGGGTAGTCCAGTCTCCATACTAGTGGCTCCTTGGACTGAGTGGCCACAGCAGCTGGAAGAGGTGTCTGGCTCTGCCCCACAGGACCTGCAGGACCGCAACGATGAGCTGCAGGCTGCCATAGAGAGTCTGCAGGCACAGTTGCCCCAGAGTTGGCATGGCCAGTCCCATGCATCACCAAATGGATGGCTGCTTCCTAGACATGGCCAAGCAGGTAGGAGCTCAGCTCAGTTCTGCAAGATGGCAGTGATGTGCTTTTACTGGGGGCAGTGGGGGCTGGTGTCAACAGCTTTTACCTACCTATGCTGCACAGGCTGTCTTTGGGTCTAGGGTGAGCAGTGATGGGTGGGCCAGTTTCATAGCACGTTAGGGCCTAGCCCAGCCTACATGTGGTCACAAGTGCCTTGTGGGCTTGTGACCCAAGGCCAAAGGTTGACACAATACCCAGAGACTGGAGAAAGGCTGAGGAGGGTAAGGGTTTTACCATTTGGGTAGAAATGGTGAAGGGGTTAGGATGACCTTACCATGACCATAGGGTAGGTGCATCTAAGTGAATCTCCAATGTTGGGAGAAGCACCCAGGGGATCCAGATGAGTGTTCAGCATGGGCTGGACACACAGCGATGATCATATAGAGATGGGAATGGGGGGGAAGGTTGGTGAGCAGGGGGCTCGTCTCAGGTCTGTGACAGCTCTTACAAAGAGAAGTCACTAAATTGTGTAAGTAAGTCAGGGACTTCCTGGAATTCACAGAGGCCTCACATGTACTGGGGTAGACTAGACTTGATATTTCTACCTGAGTTATGTAGATAGCATTACCTTCAAGCTTTGAGGTGGTTTTGTGGTACCAAGAAATGTCCCCACCCACTTGAGGCAAAGGTGTATGCTGAAGGTATAGCTTGAGAAGAACCACAGCTTCATGCTTCTTAACTCAGCCCATAAATTTGGAAAGAGCTGTAGGCTCTGAGAGACCCTGAGGCCCTGTGTTTAAGTGTTCATGGCCCCTTTTACAGACCATTATAGGGTGGGGGGCAGGTTTCAGATGCCAAAGCAATTGGAGGACTGATTTTGGCTCGTTGCTACTCTTCCCTGGCAATTGTATAGGGCAGGCACCATGCATATTTATGTAATACACCTGGCTTTATTCCTGCTGCTGCCACTGACAAGGGCCATGGAGACCATGGTGACTGCTGCTTCCATCGATCACACATCAATCATGCAGCCCCTCAGAAAACTACTTGGTCCTATCTGTAGCCCTAAGAACACTCAGAGTTCCCCATATTGCTTAGGAAAAGCTAACTTAATAATGTAGAAAAGTGTGTGCTCAAAAGAGCCCATGTGGGAGCCTCCATAGGAACTGCATGGATGAAGGCCAGCTTTCTTGGCCCTTTACAAACCCCCCTCACCTGCAGCTTCTTTAAGTGGAATGTGATGGCTCCTGAGATTCACAACCCTGACTACCCTCAGCTGGGAGGTTTCAGGGTGCGGCCAGCATGCCAGATGGTACCAGATTCCCAGATAGTTATGATGTGTGGCCAGGTGGGCAGCCTGGCCACAGGGAAGGAAGCACTTGCTACCTCCATTGTAGCTGAAGGAGCCTGAGCTACACACAGTGTACAACTCTTGTCAGGAGCCACTGACCTGTAGCCAAGGGCAGGGCAGTGATGGGGTCTTATACTCAGGGTTGTCCTTGTCCAGAAGGTCTCAGTCTGTGGTACCAGAAGCAGCCCCACACTTGTGTGTGACTGATAAAACTAAAGCAGTATCTCAGCTAGTGTTTTTTTTTCCCTTCACCCCTCCATCTGGCTGTAGAGGTTCCATTGGCCCCTTCAGAGGGGGAGGGTCTTCTGCTGCTGTGTGGGAAAGTCACAACAGCAGAGTTAGGGTGAATGGGGCTATGTGGATTATGGTGGCAGTGTCATTGGTGTATCCATCTGGAGCCTCGCCTGACAGATGCTCATTGACCTGTGCCCATTGGCCAGACCCAGATGGCAGCTTCAGTTTGTTAGGGCATCAGGATATCTTCTTTCCTGAGGTGCTTATCCTGAGTCCTCTCAGACCCAGTGTTTCTGAGTCTGTCACTATTTTTCATGGAAAATAATTTGGGAAGTGAAAAATGGTAAGATTTGGGGAATGTGTCTTTTCCTCTCAACTTTTCTGACTCCTGGACCAGCACAGATGAAACCCTGGCAGTGGACAACATCCATACTTGAGTCAATACTTTGGTATACCCCCCAACACGCACAATGTTGGGAAGACCCAATTACTAGCTGGTAGAAATTATGGGCCCACAGGTGCCTCATCAAAATGAGCTGCCCAGATGTCTGATGTTGTCAGTCAAGGAATATTCTGGAACAAAATGACTTCTATGGTCTCTTAGAACCTTCACTTCATACTTGACTTACTTGTTGAAATCCCATATTATTTGTATAATGTACATACCTCATCATAAAACACTGGCTGTCACAGAGGTTTGTCTGTGCTACAGATCACACCTTTTTGAGTCTTTGAGTCTTTCTCTGTACCTGGGTCAGGGAACACAATTTAGTATGCAGTGACTATACCATATATGACATCTTTTAGGGAATTAAAAGGCCTGACAAATCTTGCAGAGAGTCTCCTAGTTTATATCTTGGAATAATCTGTGTTCTGGCAAAGACTCAAATGTTGGTTTCTAAAGAGCTTCAACTTTGAGAATGGGACATAACAGACTAAGAAAACCTGCAAGAGCTGCCCCTCATTGCCAGCACTGAATTCCTCACACAGAAGGTGCCTATGAAAGATTGTGCATTGTCCTGTGTGGTGGAGGAAATCTTGGATGAACACTCAGTGCTGTTTAAATATCAAATGGGAGGGTGTGGAACAAACCCCATGGAACCCTCAGCAAGACATAAAAAGAAATGTCCTTGTTGCAGGCATCATCTCCATCCTGGGTGATTCCACTCCAGTGAGTATAGAAATGGAGATAATGATGGAGCAGGTGAAGGAACATTACCAAGACCTCAAGATCCAGCTGGAGACCAAGGTCAGGGGGGATGGGAGGCCATAGGAGATTTGGGCGCTTGCTGCTGCATGCCCAGAAGCTTGTTCACTGTGCTGGCAATTTTGCATGTACACATCTGCCTGTGGATCCCCTGCTTTGTAGTAAGCCTGTTCAGGGGAGGGATGTGTGTGAGGAAAGGAAAATAAAACTGACATTCAACCTCAAGCCCTCTTTGGAGGAAGAGGGATGGACATAAGGAATAACTAATAGCAGGAGAATGGAGTTATGCATTTCTGGAATGTCACAAGGGTATGCAGAGGCCAGGTCTTCTTGCTTGCTCTTTCATTGGGAAATCACAGCTTCTGGCTTTATTCTAAGCTAAAATTACCCTGGGAGATACATTGGGTAGGTTATTTCATGGATTCATGGTCACAATTACCATGACCAAGTCTGTCTTCTCAGATGAACATGTCTCCTACTCTGTTATAAGATTGTGGTAGGTTTTGTGAAGAGACAGTATCCATGACTTGTTATCAGGGGATAGGCATCTTGGTCTGAGTAGCAACAATGCTGGGTCAACTCTGTTTTATGGCTATGGCCATGGGTTCCCTGGATGTATTAGCTGGTAGCTGCTATAGTAACCCTGCCTATGACTGGATAATATTTCTCCTCACTAGAACCTCCAGGGAGGTCAGATCCACACCACCAGCCTCATTAAGGCTCTCTGTTTTCTCAATGTTGTCACACCCTCAAGCCTTCCTCATGCTTCCTCACTAGACACCTGGCCCAGCTGGCCTCCAGCCTCCCTTCCCCACCTGCTAGAGCTGTCTCATGGGGCTAATGGAAGGTTATGAGGAAAAATAAAATCTATGGTCCTTTGGAAGCCTTAGACATTGTTGTCATGGCTGTCTCCTGCGCCTCACCATGTCTGGGCCATCTGCTCTTTTACTGTGCTACCTGGGAGCCTCATACTTCCATGTTGCATTGTTAGTAAATCATTTTGCAGACTTCCTGATCAACATTGCTCACATTTCTCCTCACAGGTAAATTACTATGAAAAAGAAATTGAAATGATGAAAAAGGACTTTGCAAGGAAGAAAAAGGAAATGGAGCAAGCTTTCAAGCTTGAAATCAGTGTGCTGGAGGATCAAAAAGCCAACCTGGAGACCCTCCACGTGAAATCTCAGGAGGTCATTCGAGGCCTGCAAGACCAGCTCCAGAGTACAACCCATGGCCCTGAGCTGGAGAGGAAGTTTGAACTAGAGAGGAGGGAGATGGAGCAGTGCTACACGCAGGTACTATCTGGCCTGACTCAGCAGCCGACCCAGGAGAAAGATCAGCTGGAGGAGCTACACCAGAGGCATCAGCATGAGCTACAGCTGTTCAGGTCCAGTGCCATGTCTTTTCAGGATTTCATGTCTAGGGTTTCTTGCCAAAATTAAATAAACCAAAATTTAAAGTTTGATTATGCAAACTGCTCAGAATGATGATGCGTATTAACTATAGTTTTTCTCAGGGGAAGATGTGTGGGCACTGAAAGAATAAGTCATTATATAAGAATTTTTACTTTAAATTTAACATATGAACTAACCATAGCTTAGGCCATGAAACAGTGTACTTTGTAGAATTTCAACTCAGTGCTTTTCACCTTGTTTCAGACTTGTCTTGTATAGCAAAGATCAACACACTCATCATTTAATATCTCATTCTAATTTTCTTGGACATGGTGTTGTAGCATATGGGGAGATGGATAAAAGCCCTGAAACCATAGGAAGAACCATTAATTTGGTTTAGTGAGGTTCTTGAAAAGGCTAAAATATATGATCAAAGAAAAGAAAAGGTTTATTTGGAAAACATGTGGTCTTTTGTGTCTTATGATATCATAGACTTTGAGGATAACTAGTTATTGCAGGCTTCAGTGTTATTCAGCCAGCCCCTTCCTGTCCCAGGTGGAATCTTGAATCCTCCCCAGCTCAGGAGAGAATGGTCACATTCCACTCATGTTGGACCAGAGCTGAGGGAGAGCTCATAGCTGAGGTGTGTATCACACACCTGTCCTCATGGAGGGGCTCCGTGTGGACCTGGGTGAGTTCTGACGTTCTGGCCAAGTGGACATGTTCCAAATCACCACACTCATAGCAGGATATCGAAAGACCTTCCTGTGGAGGTCATGCCCTCCAAATTGGGTGAGGTGGGCTCTCTCCCTTCTTTGTCATGAGAATTAGGGGTGGCCTGAGCACAGGAGTTGCTGAGTACAGTCTGTGACTGTGCTACATTCCTCCCTCCACTCCAGATGACAGCCTCTGGGGCTTGCAGGAACTGAGTGACACTCTTGGAGATGATAAGTCATTTTTAAGTCATGTGCTTCCCCTGAGCTTTGTTATTTTCTGTAAAACTCAAGAGCTGTGTGGTAAGGGAACAAAGCTCCCTCCAGACTCTGACCAGGCAGCAGAGGAACAGGGCAGGGTGGCTCTCTGCTGCTCATCCCTAGCATCTTGAGCCTTAGAGACCTCAACCTTTGTTGGGAGGATCTGGTCCTGCTGCCCGTGGTCCCTCTGCAGCCTGGAGGTAGAGCCCCATATGGCTTAGGCCAGCACTGGGCTGGAGCAGAGAATATACCTGTCTCTGGCTTAGTGCCCTCATGCAGGCCTCAGTCCAGCAGCTTACAGGATTTTCAAGGGAAGTTATGACTATGGGTCAGTTTTACCCACCTGACTAAAACTCTAGGCCATTATTGTCCTTAGAATTTTCTGAGATGGGGAACATCCCTGTGTTTATTAAGGCAGCCCACCAGCCACATGTGGCTACTGAGTATGGAAATGTGATCTATGCGATTAAGGTACTGAATTTTAATGGCTTATTTTTTAAATATTTTATTTATTTTTAGAGAGAGGGGAAGGAAAGGAGAAAGAGTGGGAGGGAAACATCAATGTGTGGTTGCCTCTCATGTGTCCCCTAATAGGGACCTGGTCTGCAACCAAGGAATGTGCCCTGACTGGGAATCGAACTGGAGACCCTTTGCTGCACAGGCCCATGCTCAATCGACTGAATGAGCTACACCAGCCAGGGCTAGTGGCTTATTTTTAATCAACTTAGTTTAACAGTCACATGAGTGAATGGCATCTGTGTTGACTCCTATAATGGAGCCCAACCCTAGTGAGGGAAAGTCCTCCTGAGGCCTTGTTAAGGAAGGCCCTAAGGTGTGGGTGGATGCCCAGGAGTCATGGAAGTGAGAAAGGGTAAAGCTAGCCAAGCTGAGAGGAAGTGTGAGGTTGAAATAAGAAAAGTATTTGTGGCCTTCCTAACCTGAGGAATAGGTCTGAGGCTTAGAGCTATAGCCTTCAGTGCCTGGGACTCATTCTGTTTCTGTAGGAAAGAGGCTAGAGTTGGGCTGAATCAAAAGCTCTCATGGATGGAAGCCCAGCAGGCCACCCACTGTAAGCACTTATCACTACAACATAGGCAGAAGGAAGAAATGCTGCAAAACATCTGCTGCAAATGAGAGAGATGACATATTAGTGTGACCTGGAGTAGCAAAGGGAAAAGAGAGGGAGATCCTCACACACTGTAACAGCAGCAACTAAAGCTGTAGGAGTTGATGAGTGAAGAATAGGTGTAGGTTTGCTAGTCTTTGCCCTTAAGAAGAAGTTAGAGCTCACCTGTAGGAAGCAGGTGGATAGTCTTGTCCAGAAAGCAGAGATGCTGTGTCTTCTTGAAGGGATGGGTCAGCAGTAGCAGGTGATGAGCAGGAGGGCAAAGGTGGCTCCATGATCCTCAGTACAAGCAGGAGGGAGCAGCCTTACTTTGTAGACCCTAGGCAGAGCCTAGCCCCAACCCTTGCCCATCAAAATGCCCTCAAAGAGACTCAGCCTTGGAGAGTACAGTCAGTGTGTACTTGACTCCAACCAGGTGGCTTCTGTTCCCACAGATAGGCAGTCACAGGTGCTCCCAAGTGGGGTGGCTGGGGAGTAGTCGCAGAGGATCTAGTGCTTTTTGTTGATGGCCAGGCGTGCGTGAGCCAGCCTGAAGCCCAGGAGCTGTTCTTGGGAACAGAGGCAGATGCCTTGTCTCCTTAGCCCCAGAAGGTGGGCAGGGAAGAGACTGAGAGGCAGCAGGCTGCTCTTGAGGAGTAAGCTGGGAAGTCAAGCAGGGAGCCAGCCCCTGTGGGGAACTTGGGACAGGCCTTAAAGGAACACGCTAGGTGCAGTAAGAACACCCTAGAGAGCCGGCTGCAGCACAACAGGGGAAAAGCCAGGAGCAGCACTTTGAGCTTCCACCACAGGTTTGCTGGCCCCTAGGCAGCCAGGTGGGGACAGCTCAAGGCTCTGGGGGAGGTAGAGGCTGACATAGCACTGGAGAGAGAGAAAAATGACATGAAAACCAAACTTTTGGTTTGCAGCTGGAAGCTGGAAGATGTTGTTTGAGCTCTTAAGAAAAAAGCAGGTTCAAGAGAGAACAGGTTTGGTATCTCTTCAGTGTCAGAATGCCAAGTATACCCTCTGACCTCTGTCACTAACTCTAAGCACACACATTTCTGGCCAACCAGCTCACAGCTGCTTACAGGACTGGTTATATAACCTGTGTGCTTGTGCATCTGGTCATAAGCCCAACCTCGACCTCAGGCATCCCACAGGTCACCAGGTGCTCAGTGAGTAGGCAGAGGGGGCATAAATTAACCTTTCTGGGTATTTCAGCTGGCTCTGGTGTCCCCTGCCCTTGTCCTTAGGAAGTTCTCACTGGTGTCACAAGGTCCCAAAGGTAGACTATATGTGGAGGCCCATTTCAGTCTTTGGTCATCTGAACCCTGGTCCTGCTGACTTTGAGCAGGATCCACTACTGCAACCCACCAGGTCATGTGCCAGGCACTGTCCTTGAACTGCAAGTCCATGTACTATTGGAGCAGCAATAGAGGAGGCCATTCATTCATGTAAAAAGCTTCTCTGCTGCTTTATTCCATGCTGCCTGGCACCACCTGGGAATGTTGGTGGTGGGCATGACATGAATGCCCCAAAGGGCTCTAGTGCATACTGCTGCAGCTGATGTCCTCATGGGCAGCCCCAAGGTGAGGAGGTGGCCTGGAGATGTTGGTCTGTTGGCAAGGTACAGAGAAAGCCCAGTTGTGCAGCTAGACCCTCCTTCTCCCCAGGTTCCTCTGTGGGTCTCAGGCTGGCATGTGCTTTCTCAGAAGGCTGGAATTCTAGAAGGGCTTTTCCAGATGCTGCAGAGCATGGCTTCAGATTCTCTTCTTCTGGATCTTTGTGAGATGGAGGCTTACCCTGAAAGATGTTATAGGCACTTGCATGTTATAATGACTGTGTAACATGGTTATTGCTCTGCATGCAGTGTCATTTGGTCCTGTTAACCCATACACAGCACACATGTGAGGTGTCTGCTTCGTGTGAAGATGGAAGCTCCATGAGGTATTATGTTACTTTGGCTCACAGCACACATGGGTCTGTCCTGGAGTGTGACCACAGGCATGTGGTGAGATCTGCATTCCAGCTCAGACACCAGGTCCTGCTAGCTGGGGACCATAAACAAGTTACTTCATTGAAAAAAATAAAAGATTATGTAGGATTTATGGTAAGCCAAAAGGAATAAAGGTCAATGTACCCACCACCCATCTTAAGAAAGAAAATATTAGCATAGCTGGAAGTCCCTAGGCACCCATCTCCAGGTCCCCTTGCTCCTCTAGGAGGGAGCAGCCTTGATGTATAGGAGCTGTTTCCTGCCGTCTAGGCATTGGTTCATGTTCTTGCCTCTTATATGAGTGTTCCTGAACAATGTGGAACAATGTAATGGGGTGACTTCTAAATTTCCTTATATATAAAGCAAAGATGGTACCGTACCTCAAAAAGGGCATGTAGCATGAGATGAATATATGAACATACTCTGACATTTGCAGCCATTCCATAACAACCCCCCCCCCAACAGGCTGGTTATGACCTCAGTGTGAGCACCTTAGGGACCTGCTGCATGTGTGAGTCCACAGCCACATACAAGAGACTCCGGCAAAGAAGCAGCCCAGCTCCTAGAATCCCAAGCTGCTGTCCCTTTTAAATACTTCCCTGTGGATAGTCGTGTGCCCAGACTCATGCTATTCACATTCTCCACCCTGGACCCTGGTGGTCTGCCACTCACTGACCCAAGTCCTGGAAGGCTGCCCTTGTCCTCTTTCTGTTTCTCCTGACATGCTGCACTCCCCAGACTGTTGGCCACATAGTAGTCACAGTTCAAGTCTCAGCAGAGTCTTCATTCATTTGACAGTGTTTACTGGCCACATTCTATGTGCCAGGACAGTTAGCAATTGCATTTGGGACCAAAACAGATATTTGGAGCTTCCATTTCTGTGGGGAAACACCATTCTTCCTGCATGTCCTAGTGTTA